ATAATAATAATAATAATAATAATAATAATAATAATAATAATAATAATAATAATAATAATAATAATAATAATAATAATGTGATTTGGGATGAGGCACCAGTTTACAACCCAACAATATATTTAATTTAGCATATTATGCCAGCTTGCCGACCATGGCATCGATGGATTCTGACCCGGAATTTTGTAGCTTATAAAAATCTAATTTTAGAGTAACAATTCAGCTCGGCTTGTCACCTCAAAGTAAAATATGGTTTTTTATAATATAATATCAAATATACAGAAAATTATTGGATATACATCAATCTAAATATTTGAAATAAATAGTCGAATTTTCGCTTGACATAAATAATCCCCAAAAATATGGCAATTTCTAATCTTTTACATTAATTCCGAAAACGCTTTTATTGACTTTGGAATCATTTCCAACTCCCGTGAATTTTGAAACCACCTCATAATCAATTCTCTTATGAACTAAAAAGGTCTGCGTCTGAAACGAAACATTCTATTTCCTCCCCTTCTGTAATTATATTCCCATCCTCTGTCGAATCCACCATACCATCCCCTGTCGAATCCACCATACCAATATGGCCTGCGACCAAATAACATGCGTCTGCGACCAAATGGCCTACGTCTGCGACCAAATTGCCTACGTCTGCGACCAAATGACCTACGTCTGCGACCAAATGGCCTACGTCTGCGAAATTGCCTGGGGGAACCCCTAAACCTTCTTTGGCTAATTTCTATATCCCTGGATATATGTAGGGGTTTTTTTTTTTTTTTTTTTTTTGAGATTTAGATTACATTTAAAGAGGAAATTATGATACTAAGACTATGTTTAAAAAAAATACAAGACTTACTCAAGAAATTCATCGATATCACCTGAAAGATAAATGTCTGCATCCATATATTTATTTCCATCGGTAAAATCAATGTTTTTAGCATTAGAGACGAGATTTCTGTCATCAGAGATATCTTCTTTATCATCAGCGGCTGAACCAAAAATTATGAAGAAAAGTAAAATTCCAAGGAATAAAAAGTAAGGGAATTTAAAAAAATGCATAATAGATGGTTTTTTTTTCTAGTGTCATAAAAATGAGTTATCTGTCGATTTAGTCAGTAATGTGGCCACGAGTAATACGAAAGGTGAGAGAGAAGCCTTATATATTGTCTTGCGCACTTTTACCTAGGTAATCTTTGTTCAAAAGGGTTACTGATCTGAAACAATCTGTGGCAAATGATGGGCTTTAACATCAATACTAATTCTATTCTTTCGAGTTAAAATTTTAATGTAGGTCTATTTATTTAAACATTATATGAAATAATACTGTATATTATCCGCAAACTCATGATCGTTGATTACAGTATATTCTCATGTTATTTTTTGTGTGTTATGACGTAATTTTTATTAGAATTAATTCTATCATTCGCTTGAGCCAAATTACTTATTTTTATCCCAATTTTTTATATGTACTATCAGAGGGGAAGTCGGCTAACACCAACTAATCAACAACCAAGCGACAACGATACCCAAAACGATTATAGATGCGGATTCGATTTGGCAAGGTAAGGCTTGTTTCGGGTACGCTGCACGGGACAGCACTGGACAAATTCGATCGGGGGAGGGAATCTGCAAGTTAGAATAACTAATTCCTACCATTTAAATCATATAGAGCTTCGCCTCGAGCCAAACCCAAAATAGCATTTGGGGTTTTTTCCTTGAAAATCAAGTTTGGATCATATGATTTCTATGTCCCGTAAGGTTATTTTCAAGGTTGTTATCACATGCTGATTGGAGGTCTCGGGCTTGTGGCTTAGCTTGGTCCGGGTCATGGCTTGGTTCAGGTCGTGGTCACGTTATCACATGCTTACAGCTAGGTCACGATTTACCTCTAACATTTCTCCTAGCCTTATTTTATGTATCCCATATAAAATTCGTAATTCATTTATAGGTGGATCAGAGCAAGTGGTTCTCTTTAACCTTTATAGCTTAAACTCAACCTGAAAATAAAAATAAAATAAAATAAAAAGTTAATTTTTTTTTTAATTATTATTATTATTTTTTATTTTATTATTTTTTATTTTTAATTGATATTTATTATTCTTTATTAACTGAAAAAACCTAATCTTTTTCTAGAGTCAAAAATCTTTGAATTTAAATAGCAGAGTAATATATATTAGGAGGTTTTCATTATTTCTATTAGATTTGAATATTATTTTATTATTAATTTTAATTTAATCTTCTTTTTATTTTTAGATTTATTCTTATTATTAAAGTTTGAAATGTTTTTTACTTTAACAAATGTATGTATAATTTTTGATTTAACCAAGTTATACAAATACAAACTATTTTTTTTTTAGATATTATGATCTTGTTATCTTTTTGAATTTACTAACTCTTTTTATTTATGAATTGCAGGCTTTATTTTTTTTTTAATATTAAAATGAGATTTTGTTTTTATCTTTATTAAAATTTGTATAGGATTTTATAAAAAAGTTTTTTAGAATTTACAAATTTGTTTGTTAAAATAAAACTTAAATTATAAATAGTAAACTATCTAATTTATTTGCAATCTAAATCTATTAGAACAATTAAAAACTTATCTAGATTTAAATATTTATAATAGTATTAGATAAGTAACTATATTTAGCTTACAAAGTAGACTATATATCAATTTTGTGTTATACTAATTCTAATAAAAAATATAAATTATTATTAATATATAATTAATCAGATTGGTTACTAAATATGTATATATATAGTCTATTTTGAAATGAGTTTTATAAGAAAGATATTATAAATAAGATATTTGTTAGAAGTAATTAGATATTTTGTTTTGAGTTTTCTACTTAGAAAATTTAATATAATAAGGCTTCTAGATTTGTTAATAAATTTTGTTAGTATTACTAAATTTTTTTTAAAGACTATATATTAATAGTAATCTTTAAATTTATATTGATATATAGCCTTTTTGCTATAAAGATTACTATTAATATATAACAAAAATATAATAAATTTAATTTAAACTTTAATAATTATTTTTTAACTAATAATTCAAATTATTAGATCTAGTAATCTTAGTATAATAGTTAGGTTATCAGACTACTATATAAGAGGTCTGAGATTCAAATCCTACTGTTGACAAATTTGAATAATTACTTAGACCTTTGTATCCAACTTATAGTAAACTTTATTTGTTTCTGAAGTTGTTACTCTGTAAATCTTATTGTACTAATATCATCTAAATATTAAGAGTGTAATAAAATATTGTATGAATAAATCTTGATAGAATTTATGAGCAGAAGATCTGTATAGTAGAATTCTAAGTTTAGTAAAATAGTACAGCTTTTAACAGTTATATCAGTTAACATCTGATCTGATAGGATACTAAATTAGAAGATATATATCAGGTTGAAGGGTACTCATGAAACATCTAAAAAAGAAAAACAAATACTGATAGATAGCTATAGTTAGAACTATAGTTGTATAAACATTGACAAGAGTACAAATCTATAGATATCTATGAAATAAGTACGGACTACCTCTTGGTAGAGGTTACTATCTATAAGTAAAGTAGCTCATAGTCTTAATCATAACTATATTTGAGTTGGTATTACAGAAAAAATACTGAAAATCAAAAGACTTAAATAGAGAATCTACAAGCAGATCTCAGATATAGTAGTTAGCAGATAATCTGTAGGCAGAACCTTTAAATAGATAATAACTAAAGTTGTACATGTGGCTATCTGTAGTCTCATTAAAATATAAAATATAATATCTCCTTATTAATTTAGATTATAAGTTTTAAATAAAAATGTCAGAATATAGGATTCCCTCTTTAAACTGTAAAAAAAAAACTAATAATTTAAATTATTTAAATTTTAACTATATATAAAATTAATATTTATCTATTATATTAAATTTTTAGCTAATTTAGATAAGTAGTTTATAAATAATTATTAGTAATATAAGCTAATAAAAAAATTTTAGATTAAAGCTAGCTCAGGCTAACTGAGCTAGTTAAAGCTAACTATTTAATAAATAATTTTAAATAATATTCAATTTTTATTATACTTTAAATATGAATTAAGAGTTATTTAGATTTAATTTGATATTTTTTCTTTAACTTTATAAGATATTTATATTTGATATTATCTTATTATCTATCTTCTAAAGATTTTTAGCTAATTATTTCTAAGCTAGCTTATATAACTAGTAATTACTAGAATAAATATTAAATTTTTTTAGAAAAATTTGTTATAAGTATATTAGTAATTTCTTATCAACTACTTATCCAAATTAGCCAAAATTTTGATATATTATAGATAAATATTAGTTCTATATATATTTAAAATTTAAGCTAATTTGAATTATTAGTTATTAAGAAAATAATAGTTAAAGTTTAAAAATATTTACAAATTTTTTAATAATTATTATATATTATTAGTAATATTAAAATAATATATAGTTCCACAATCTCAAATTGATAGCTCTAACAAAAATCAACAAACTTTAAAATTATTCTACTTTTTAATTATCTGAATATTTCTATTTTAACAAATACTAATAATAAACAACTTACTATTATCTTAGATCCTTACATACTCTTAGAAAAAATTCTTCAACACAATAATTTCTATAACTCCTTTAAACACTAATTACAAATCAAACAAATCTTATTTTTTAAACAATTAATTTTTGCTAATAATTATATTATTTTAGACTAGATTCATATTTTTTCAAAACTAAATTACTTATTTAAAGACTACAAATCTAAATAGTTTACAACTTTAGAGATAGTAATCTTAGATAATTTTCTTACAAGAATTATTTCAAACCAATTCTAGCTACTAACAAATAATTCTTTTACTTATACTACTAGATACTTTAGTACAAGAACTAAACCTTAGCTTATAACTTATTTATTGTCTTTAAAAATAGTAATTATTAGTAAAGCATGATACTTATATCTAAAAAAAAAATACAATATTAATTACTTATTAGATATTATAATCTAACTCTGACTTTGTTAATTTTTTTTTTTTTTTTTTTTTTTTTTTTTTAAGGTGGTTTACATTGCCAAACAGCTTTTATTAGTTTAATATATGAGGTTCTACATAGGGTTCCTCTATAGTTTGTAATTACATAAAGAGTGTACAACAAGCTATATATATAACTTTAGTTATTGTCTAATTTAAGTAGTCTGCTACATAAATAATAGACTACTTGATTAGTTCTATACTATGCTACTATATTTGTAACCTGCTTGTGAGTTACCTATTTAAACACTCTGTTCAACTAACTCATACCATTACAAACTAATATTCTGTAATACCTAACTACTTAAGCTAACTAGCTTATTGCAGATCTATTTACTAACTTCAGCTTAAGTCTTCTCGAGATATATATTGCTTAATATATTGTGAGCTTGTAAAGCTCTAGTTAACCTTGAAGCAAACCTACTAGAGTAGCCTGTACCTATTTTATAAACTTATTTAGCTTAGACCTTTGTAGATATTTATATAACTCTAGTTTCTACTATAGCTCTCTACTAGTTTTTTTGTTTGCTAATCTCTTCAGATATTTTACAAGGTAAATCCTCTCAATTTAGTTAGCTACTAAGCTAAGTTAGTGTTAATAATTCTCTTTGTAGAATAGACTTATTTGCACCTTACTCAATTGATATTTTTCAGAATTACAGTTTCTTTTTTAGATCAAACATTAGCTAATATAATTATCAAAAGCTATACTTCTTTACTAACTTGAGATTTCTACTATGCAGGTTCTCTGCTCATTAATTCTATTAAGATTTATTTGTATAACATTATGTTTCTCCAAATACCTTGTTATACTTCTAATATCTGAATAATATTAGTATAATATTATTTACAGGGTTACAACTCCAAAAATAAACAGAGTTTACTATAAGTTGAATATAAAAGTCTAAGTAATTATTCAAATTCATTAATAGTGGGATTTGAATCTCAGATCTTTTGCATAGTAGTCTAACTACCTAACTACTACACTAAGATTGCTAGACCTGACTCTGTTGATCTTTACTC